GGTGATGGTGGTGGTGGTGATGATGGTGATGGTGGTGGTGGTGATGATGGTGATGATGATGATGATGATTGGCATTATTTTATTGGGGAGGTAGCCTAATGAAGTAAGAGCTAGATTCTAAGCTCAAAATTCCAACCCTAGGGCAAGTCATTTCACTTATTCAGGCAAATCACCACCTCTTTGTGCCTCAGTTTCTTCAGCCATAAAATGGAGATAATTATACAACTTACCTCATGGAATTGTTATAGAGATTAAATATGTTAATATTAGCCAAGTCTTCAGAAGACTGCCCAGCACAGAGTAAACTCTACATGAAGTGCTTGTCAGTTAAATAGTAATGACTCCTATTCCGTGCTATGTAGAGGGACTGTGTTTTGCATGCATTTGTTTAATCCTTACCACAACTCCTTGAAGAAATCAAGGAACAGAGATGTTCATCAATTTGCCCGAAGTCAACAGCTTATAAGCAATATGGTGGTCCGAATGCTCACACATGTGCATGAAGTCCTCTCTTTTTGCTTCCCTTGAACCAAATTCACTGGCTCTCTCTCCCTAGGAATTATCATACAGAGTTGTATACACACAGCCGAGCCTACTGTGTTTTACGAGTCTCTTAAAGATTGTCAAGCCTCTCCCCTCCCATCCTGCAATGTGGCCTCACGTACCTCTTGACATCTTTGGGGGCCATAAGGAACACAGTTTGACAACCACCGCCCTGGGCAATTTCTGAGTGTTTCGCCACCTCTGGCTTCTTGTGACTTGAAGCTAATAATGACAACTGGCGTGTTGGGGGGGGTCACCAGGTACCGGGGCATTTTCCAACTGCTTTGTAGATTTGCTCCTTTTCTCCCAGTAATAACCTTCGGGGATAGGCACTGTTATATCCGGGTTTACAGATGAGAACACTGAGGCACAGAGAGGTTAAGTTACTTGCCCAGGATGACACGGCTAGGAAGGATTAAGGTGGGAAACAAGCTTACGCTGACTCTGGGGCCCTTTCTCCTCATCCTCTGGCCACACGGCATCCAACCTTGCCTGTTGCTGGTTCTAGAGTCCCTGGAACACTGTGGGGCGGTGTGTTTCCAAGGAAACGGAGCTTCCAATACCTAAGGGAATGGGAAAGGGCAGGTGAAGCCCTTGGGAGTCCCCAAGAGAACCCCAGGCAGCAGGGGGTTCTCTCCCCTGACGCCGCCAGACCTCCCTCTGGTTGTGGTTGCGGAAGCTGAGCCAAGGACCCGAGTGTGCTGGGACGTTGGTTGGAAGCCCGCCACCCAGAGGCCTGGCCACAGGGGAGCTCTTGGCTTCTCATTCACCCAAGTCATTAATATTCCCTCTCTCCAGCCCCTCTCCCTTAAATCGCACACAACTGCCATCAGTCTCTTAGCCAGAGCTGTGGCCTCTGGGAAAAAACAGTGGCCCCATTTTCCCCTTGAAAGATTCCCTGGATGGGGAAGGGCTGGGGCCTTGACTCTGCCATGCACCATCATTTCTAGGCTATCAGACAAACAAAGAAGCGTCTAAATTTTACAAAGACTCTTCTAGGGAAAAATATCTTTAAGCATTTATTATTCGTTCCTTGAAGGTAACTTTTAAGTCAAATTATGGGGACCGGTGTAGTATTTTATTTTATTATT